TCTCTCTCTCTCTCTCTCTCTCTCTCTCTCTCTCTCTCTCTCTCTCTCTCTCTCTCTCTGTGTGTGTGTGTGTGTGTGTGTGTGTGTGTGTGTGTGTGTGTGTGTGTGTGTGTGTGTGTGTGTGTGCAAGCGTTGTGGAGCGAAAATCCGGATGGTACTCAGGATAGGTTGTGACAAGGGCAGATCAAATGAAGCATAGCTTTTGTTTTTCATCCATGCCTTCCTGTCAAAATGCTGTCTGTTTGTGCCTCGTTACGACAGATAAATGACCATATACATGTAAATAACATCCTTGACACCTCCTCGGTGATCGTAATGAAACACCAGAATTAATTAGCAAGCTGCCTCCTGTAGTGTAGGCACATGTGCAGGCTGCACATCATTATCATCCCTCCCATTTTTGTATGTCACACTGATTTCCCACAAGTAAAACCCGGCGTGAAAAACATCCGCATCCTGAAAATGTCAGCTCAACATTGGTTGGGTCCTAACCTGGGCGGTTTATGAACAAAGTAATATGATTAGGAAATGTTCAACGTGTTCAAGTGTAAGTCATATCTACATACTGCTACGAAAAAGCGTCAAAGTCTCATTAGATAATTCCCCCTCTCTTACTCCGTTGATAATATTCCTGCTGGTGATCAAATAACTACATTCGAAATGTCTCCGTCCCGTCTATATTGGCATTTGCCACATTGGTGCAAGGATTGACATTACAGGTGACACTTTTCAAGATGTCAACCCGGAAACCAGACTATAAGGTTTGAACCACACACCTCTACTCCTTTCGCTACGTGTGGTGGGTTTTTCTAACGTGCTCTCTTCAAACACGGTACCTCCAGCTTTACGTGCCAACCGAGAGGACTCCATAAGTGAAGCTAGGTACACATTTGTGCTCTTTTTCACCCGCATCGAGTACGAAAATGGGTGTAAAATTTGTTTTAATTCTGTACACACAAAGTAGCGAGGTTTGCGCTCTCTCGCTAGCTAGCTTTCAATGATAGATTGATGAAGATTACAACTGAGTACGGCCCGAAAGAAGCTCCCGTCACCCTCCAGAAAAAATATAATTTGGTCGACTGAACTGAAGAATCAATGAACAAATTTTAGAAGAAAATTTTGCTTACAGAACTTTAAGAAGTGTTCGACAAAAGGCATGTATTCGTATGATGTACCATTCGGTTGTCAGGACGACGGAACGTCATTCAGTAATTACATTCTGGCATTCGGCTTCGGCACCTGTGCGTACACAAGCATTGCCTAGTTGTCAGTCAGACGGGATTCTATGTGTTGCGTTAGCTCGTTCTTACGTTGACGTGTTTTTTTTTCAGTTTTGGTCATTTCGCTCGGGTAGACTGACTTCCATGCGCTCTCCCTCGCAGTTTTCTGGTGCTCGGTCCGTTTTGATTATATGATGACTCCGTAGAGGCGGGGCGAAGCATCCCCACTCGTTCCCCGCTGCTTATAATGACGTCCCTGCGGTACAATACGACCGCGCCTCTCCCGATGGTGGCTGCGAACATGAGCGCCGTATTTCCAACCGACAACGTGTCCACCATGGCCGTGAAGAACAACACAGTCCACCCCTACACGACCGCCCTGACCATCCTCATCTCCACGGCTGTCTCCACCGTCATCTTGGGGATCATAGTCGGGAACTTCTTCGTCTGCACGTCCACGCTGACCCAGAGAAAGCTCCGAACCGTCCACAACTGGTTTCTCGTCTCCCTCGCCATCGCCGACCTCCTGGTAGGCGTCCTCATCATGCCTCTAGCCCTGGTGAACGAACTCCTGGGCTACTGGTACTTCGAGAGGGCCCTGTGCGACCTTTTTCTCTCCACCGACATCTTCGTGTGTACGGCGTCCATCCTCAACCTGTGCGGCGTCGCCATCGACCGTTACTGGGCCGCCACCAACCCGCCAGACCTGGTGGAGCACAAGGAGAAACGGCGGGCTAAGGTTTTTTTACTGCTTCATTTTTCTGCTTTTAGATCCATGAGTAGTTCTTATTGTATATCTCTGTGGGAAATTCTAACCTTGAATAGCAAAATTGTTTATTTACAACCACTTGTTCACCAGAGCCGACGTTACATACATGTGTGTCACAATTACCTCAAGTTTGGGACCGCATTGTTAGCAGTAATAACACCTAGTGAAGCAGTCATAATTGCTCTGATGAAGATGTCAGGACATCGAAACGTCGGCTCTTGTTAAACAAATGTTTGTAAACAAGGTCCTTTACTGTTCACTCATTCACCAACACGATGAAATTATGCACGGATATTCTAACCTGTTTTATATTATATTTTAAACATTCCGCTGTACATATGCATCACCTCAACCACTTGAATTGAAAAAAATCCGTATAAAATTGCCTAAGATCTTTTTTCGCCCTGTTCTTTTCATCCACTTCTAATTGGAGCATGTGCTCGGACATAAGCTTTATTGACAGGATCATCCTCCAGCAAAAAGCATATTCTACTTCAGAACGTCTCTCGACCTTCCTCACACTCCATTGATATTGAAACAAGAGCTCTGAATCTCAGCAAATCCTCCGTCTATTGAACCAACTGAATCGTTCTCGATCATGTTTTCCCTTCCTGTACTAAGATTTGTACTAAGCTTTGCTTTGATTCACCATAACCGGCAGTCATGTATCCATGTTTAGACTTTATTAAATGCTCTTTGCGCACGACAATTACATTGATAGTCCCTAGAACTGGTACTTTCCTAAGTACTGACTGATGTTACCGCTGGTTAGAAGACGTATCAAAACCTTCTCAGATAATTGTTATTGGTTGCGAACGAAGAACATCAATTTATATTTAGTTAACTATCTGCCTGTTGAAACGATTCACATGTACAAATATGGTTTGTATGATTGTTACATTACACGGGGTAAACTATATTTACATCTGACAGGCAGCAGCTCTGTGTAATTTGTAATTTGCAGTACTGGCAGGCGGTCGTTTTGTGCCAAACTGTGTAAAGTGCTTTTAGTCAGCTTCTTCAGCATTTGTTTGCGTGTCTAGTAGTTAACGTTGTTGGGAGAGTGCCAGACAGCATGTGCAAAAAGTAAATTCATCGCAGTAGAAGAACAAAGAAAAACATTTCATTCAGTTTTTGCTTCCTTTAGCTGTGGGGATGAATAAATAACTAAAAAAGTAAAATTTGCAAATCAAATTCATGATGTTTACCTTCGCATGTGGTCTGCTCTGTTAATTCTTACTCAAACACATTCTCATACATGGTGATAGGAGTCTAAATCCTCCCTACTATAAAATAGCAACATTATGTAACCCAACACCAGTTACCATGGTGAGAGAAAGTCTGGTTCAGTCAGGTCAGAGGTCACTGTTTGAAGAAGAAGAAGAAGAGGAAACGTAACAAAAACAATAGGTTTTCCTTCGGTAAACATAATTTATTAGGAAATAATGTTGTTTATATGTCAGCAAGCACACATAAGTAGCGATATGACTTTCCGTGGGACAATTGTGATTAAGAATTTATCCGATGAAGGAAGTAGATATTACAGGCAGGCATATTCGGAAAACGTCAAAATCGCTAGCGTCGATGAAGCTTTAAAATTTGTATCTTTGGTATCTTGAGCGTCATGACCTAACGTAGAGTGTGAATGCCCACTGTCCAAGGTGCTGAAGTATGTGTGGTTATCTTACAGGTTATCTATATCAAATTCATCATATATTAGGCACCAAACTTAAGACATGCTCGACTAAAGGAATCAGGACAACCCCAGGCCTTATAAGGTTGACGTTTTATATTACTGCGGTGTGTGTGTGGGTGGTG